ACAGGTGCACCTTATCGTCCAGAAAGTACAGGTGCAACTTATCGTCGAGAAAGTACAGTATTCATTCTGATTTTTTTTGTAAAAGAAAATAGTGTATTCCTGATCATATGAGGCAGAACATAGACCAGTGTGGGCGGGTCCCGGCTCCAAAAGGTTCATGAGCACGTGCGCTGACGTACTCGCAATCTCACTCCTTGCCGGTGGGGGTGTACCCGGAAAGAGAATTACCCAATGCTTTTGTGTGCCGTCTTTTTACTTCTAGAAAACCTCTTTACAGGATGGTCCAAAAGTCACTCGTGGCTCAAACGTTCCAGATGCTGTCGATGCTGAGGGGAGTATATTTTTTTGGACCAGTCTAGTTTAGCCGCTGTGGACTTTTGAAGGCACTTAATGCGTTTTTTTTTCAACATTTTCCTGTCCCCGCGGTCAATTTGAAACTGCCCACCGAAGGCGAAAGAGGTGGTACATTAGTTTAAACAACACAGATATTTACAGTCTATGCATATGACCAGAATTGCTGTTATAAATTTGGACAACTATAGTGATAAGCAAGAGTTTCTTTACAGTCGACAAATCCATTTGCGAGGTTTTCTATTGACCAACCAATCATTTCTTGGATCAGTTATAGGATTAAAAGCTTCTCTTGAGTTTCAACGTGTTCTAAGATGCTTGTCATAGATAGCAATTACAACTGGGAACAAAATATTCTTTTGACTAGTGAAGCTATGCAGTGTGACTTGAACTGCTGTCATGCCTGTGCTATATTAGCTTTAATCTCTGAAATAATGAAGACACTTCCAGCAATTATAAACAGGTGTTATTGTTGTGTCACCAAGATGTGGCGCCTCTTTTTGCTCTCTTGTAACTTGCGCAAAATGACCTTTGTTGACAAGCTGTGGCCGCTGCTTTGATAATTGTCGTAAAGGTCTGTGTTTGCGTTTCCAGCAAAGTCTGTAGTCCATTAAATGCCACCGTCAAAAGGATCTGAACTGGTGCCGAGATTATACGGCTAATCTATAATCAAAGTTATTCCGGCTGTTTATTTTCTTTATAGATTGTCATTGGAACGGCTTCTGAGGGCAATGGTTTTAAAGCAACAGTACGTGACCTTCTGGAAGATCACCGGACTCTATTGGAGGGTCAATTTCAAATCAATTCAATTAATTATTATAAAGCCCTAAATCACAACAGTATATCTCAGCAGACTTTACACAACCGTTGAACCTGCCAATACAATCCACTTTATATCTATTTCCTAAACACAATTTCCAAAGTGCTGCACAATAAAAGACTAAATAAGACAAATCCATAGTAAAACAGTAAAATCATTAAAAACCAAATTGGAAAAACCGTGTGTGCATATATGTATAAATATAAAAATAACCATTAAACACAGATCAGAGAATCAAACCGTTCCAACACAAGTATTAGTATTAATCCATAAAGGGGCAGATGACCATTGTCCATAAGTATTGAGAAATGTCCATAAATACTGAGGTTAAAACCACACACAGCAGGCGACAAACGACATTTCTAGCGATACAAGCGGGATTAAGCCCTTCTCCAGAATACGAGTCAGGTCTGCGGAGAAGCAAGCCAGCTCACAATAAGCATGCATAAGGTTTAATCGGTTCTTCTGCTTAGACAAAAGTGTAAGAAGCCAGTACTGCACTTTTGCCTTATTAGAAAACAAAACAATAACGGTACTTCCTGGTTGATGGTTCATGCTCTGGTTCTGCAGTTTTTGTGGTCGTAATAAACAAATGTCAAAGATTACTATTATCAAACTTTGTAGCACACGAGAAAGGGATTACGCTGGATAAGTAAGAAAACTTGCATCTGGGAAAATATCTCTGGATTTCAGTACGTTTTGAATATTTGTCAATGGAACAAACACGTATCATGCGTCCTGCTGTCAGACAGAAGCACTGTTTTCTCGTTTCAAATAGAAATCTCATCTTTTTTATCAATTACTGAATATAAACTGTCGAAATGTTTGTAACTCAGGTCTGATGATAGGAACTATGTGAGAAAAGATTCAAAACAACTTAATACAAGCTAAGATTTTTGCAGTAAATGTGTTGTTTCTACTAAAAAACCAGTACTACCACAGTAATACTCAATGTGTTGGAATTGTGTATTATAATTAAACTTTTTCAGATTTTACTCTCTTGAAATTGTTATTTTTACTCCGAAATAATGAGACTCTTTGAACATACAGCATTTTAATAAGTATAGATAATAAATTCGTTTGCCACAATAGATGCTGCAGCCCTTTTTCATGAGATTTCATTACATTAAAGGAGCTATACCCGTTTCTGCAAGGTTTGAATGTTTAGCACCGCCTCTCAACTCGCTCGGAGGCTTCTCATTTCTACTAAGCGGAGCCTTCTAGTTGTATTTGCGATCTGACATTAGCATTAGCGTAACTTAAGCTGTACAACAATGAAATGGTACAAAAGCAACGCACTGCTAACAAAATATATAACTGAAAGATTACCCCTAGTTTCTGCTAATATGCTACTGTGTTTAGCAGCGCTGTAGAGGCTAGAGGACGCAGGCTCGTTCTGTGATTGGAGGAGAGCGGGCGTCACGCTAAGTCTCTACTCTGCACTTTTTACTTCCTGAATTCATACACAGCTGAATCAATGAGCTCAAGTTTTCAATTAAATTACAGATTATAATACAACTTGTATGTAGAAATAAGCATTTTTATGAACTCATTAGAAAAAAAATCTGGTATTGCTTATTTAAAAGCAAAATAGAACCTCCATCTTCCTGAAGATGTGAGACAGGCCTCTACTCTGACCATGTTCAGAACTAGGAAGAAAACATATCTGTGTATCTCTGCAAACAACTGATTAAAACAGTTTCAAGCCCAATACTTTGATGCTGCACTGTTTTCATATGAACTTGTATCTGTATTGTCTTTTTGATCTGTTTTTATGCATTTTGTGTTTTTATGCTCTTGTGGGGCACATGGGGAGAACATGCAAACTCCACACAGAACGTCTGGACATTCACAGCTCAAGCACACGCCACTACACCACCAATAATCAAGAGTTTTAAACGCATTAAAACAAAATAAATGCTGAACCCCATAGGCTGAGTAAAGCCGGTGGTCTTCTACAGCTCTGATCGTCTGTTAGACTAGACGTGAATGAGGGAAAATGAGAGATTTCACAGTTGTTTTGGTTTCGTTGTCCCCATCAATCACCACAATAATGGAATCATCTCCCAATAATTCCCGCAATAAAACGTGACGTGTGCATCGGCGCGTCTGTTTATGAAAATGTCCCGAACCCGTCCCACCGAGATCATGTCATGTTGATGTATGTACACAAACCAGAAATAAGGAAAACCCCATTTTTGGCTCATTTAACTGACAGTGCAGCCGACCACAGGGAATACAATGCCCAGATTAATATTTCATCCACACGCTTTGATCTCCACCGGATTCCCCGCTATACCCCAGACGAGGAGAGAGGGCTTGGATATGTCCGATCGTTTAAAAAAGAAGGGGATGGAGTTGATGATAGAAAGATTTACTAAATGCATCCAGGCAGCTTATGTCAATGGCATTTCTCCCAAGGCTGAAGATGTTGATGCATGTCTACAAATCTGCATACAGCACAAAGGAACAGGCTGCAGTATAGTTGACTCCATAATCTATAGGTTATGGTTATTCCCTATGGAGGGCAGAAGATGGCTAGTCAATGTTGCATTTTTCACTTAACCTGCTAATAAATAATTCAATGAGTGAAGCAGAGCAGAAAATTGAGATAAGGTTAATTGAAAGCACTTCCTCTTTTTTATTTTTTTTCCCAGGAATTATGCCAACCTTGTCAGTCAGCAGTTTGTAAGAGAATTCCATTTACTCATATAAACGGATGTCCCAGATTTTTCTCCACGCCAAGATGGTATCTCAACGCCTTTTGCTGGCCCCATTTCACGCTCAGCAAGTGCATTACAGGTATCATGAAGGAGCAGTAGCCTAGAAAATGCCCCTGCCTTCCAAGTAATTAAAGCCCAAAGAAGAAACCTGGGCGGTATCAATCGATATCGCATAAAGACAGTCTGAAAACGATTGGGGTCTGCGGCCGTTCGTTGCATGTGGGGCCATCATATTTTTGACCTGAGCCTGGAACATACTGTATGCTGAGAGAGCAGAGAAGAGGGGAGTGAATGGGGCGGAGTGGTCTTAAATCTTGACAATGGGAAATAGGAGGCTGTGAGGCGCATGTATGTGTAGGGAATAAGGGAAAACATAGAAATCAGCAATGCTATTCTTAGAGCTTCATTTTCTCTTTATAGTGGGATGTATATACTGTAAGAGCCATAAAACACATGCACTCCCAACATCTGTGACATTTCAGCAATAAATCCTGTCTTTTTTTACACCCTGAGTGATCATATATTTATGGCAAATGTAATGGAATCAAACGTCTCCATTGAGAGATCATAAAAGTCTATCTTATCTAATCTTAACTTAAAAAAATCTCCAATCCTAATTCATAGCAAGCTCATACAAACTTAACTTCTTGCTGAACCTTGCACATTGTCCTATATACAGTAATTCCACAATGAGAGGGTGAAGTTGCCAGAAGCTTAGGCAGAATTAACACGTTTTCCTTAAATCCTGGTTGTCCCAAATCCGGTGTTTCCCCCCCTCTCCTTCCTTCAGCCTCTCCGAGCTCTCTCACAGCCCTGTCACTTGTCGTGCGTCTCTCCAAACACATCCACATCACGCTCCTGTTTACAGCACTGGCCGCAGAAGCAGTTTCTAGCTGTTTAACAAGATACAGGTCCAGTTTTATGACACAGCGTGGACCCAACATTAAGCTCCCATGCGTGCGTTATGACTTTTGTTGACAAGGGGATTTTAAGCATTGATTCAAATTGACACCTGGGTGCTAATAAATCCAAGTAATAGCCTGGAGATCTTACGCTGGATTTGTGAGTTTAAAAAACCTTGATGAGAGACTTATTCACGCACTTACCGACAGAATATTGATCCATTTGCGTCGCATTTTTAACTCCAGCGCCCAATATTTCACATTTTACTCAATGAAGTCTTCTCTTGGCTGTCACAGTCGCCTTTTCCGCCTCTCTTTGGAGTCCATAAAGTCGTAGCAAAGCATTTAAACCTGAGTTAAATAAGCGATCTCATTCAGTTAAAGTAAAAAACAAACAAACGGGGGGAAAGGGCTGTTGGGTTTCTCTCCGGGCGGTGATGGATCGTCCTTGTGTCCAGTTTGCGTAAAGAGGAGAAACTGAATCCGAAAAATGGGATCGCGTCGCCGGGTGTCACTGCGTTTACACAGGCGGTTTTTTGAAGAAGACTCCAGTCCTATCGCCTTCCCAGCGAGACTCACATCCCTCTCTGGTCCGCGCAGCTTCTGACAGCATGTGTGTGTGTACAGTGCAGCGCCAGTGTCCTCTCTCACGACGCGCCGCCCACCTCGCCCTGGACTCGGGCTTTTGGGTGAGCATCCGGCGTGAGGAGGACCATAACTCTTCCAACGCTCGCTTAATTATGCGTCGACTGCATACCAACCGAGTCCACTTTACAATCCAGACACAGCGTGAGCCAGGCGCACAAGTACAACACCAAAAAAGTGACGTTTGCAGCATGCGTAAAGATCAAAACGAGTTGGCACCGTCGTTACGCAGGTCTCCCTCTGCGCGTCTTAAGTCCGGGGCAGAGTCAACAGATTTGGCTGTTTACTAAAGAGAAGCAGATGGTCTCCTGGGGGTCAGAGAAGTTTAACGTCCCCACGGCTCCTTTTAAAAACACTAAAGGTCTCAGCGAGAATGCACTGCGGTCTATTTTGACATTAAATTGATGGATTGATTCATAACATTCTGTGGAGCCATTAAAAAAAACTACATTCATAACTCATTAATATGTTATGGGCATGTTTTGTGTGCATCTGAAACGTATTAGAATAAGCAGAGAGGACGAGTCTTACCTATAGGCCATCCACTTACACATTCTCTACATTGTAAGTAGGTTAATAGCACCCCCGCAGGAGCTGTTTGTCATGATAGACACATGGCCGTGATCTCACTTCAGTTCAAATCAAAGAGAAAATTACACACATACCATTGATATACTCTATGACACACATAAAAACATCTTTTTTTTTACTGTTGGAGGACGGAGAATGATGCCCTCAGTATAGAGCGGGTGGGAGGGAGGTGTCGGGTCAGAGCATAGTATGTTTTAGTATATTACTGTATGTACTGTATGCTATCCCATTTAAAATAATTGTCGTTTTATAACACATTTTGGATTGAGAAGATTTGGTTTTATTTCTGGTTGAATGGGTGAGAAGGGGGTTCAGATAAATATGTGTCTGCTTCATCCAACCCCTTTTCCAACCTGTATTAGAGTCAACCAAATAAGAAGCACTTTTTTAGGACTACAGGCCAAAAATGTCTTGTATTGTGCGTCTTATGCGTGTCAGTAATTTGTATTAATATATATGAATGTGTTGTGACTGCTTTGTGAGATGTAACCGGGTCTATGTGAGCAGGACTTTAGGATACAGATGTTGTTGGCCAATTCCAAAATTACCTCAACAATTTATTCAGCGATATCTGTTCCGTCCATAAAAGGAATCCAGCTGTCTGAAGAGTTTCAACAATGGATCACAGTGTCACATTTATAACAAATTCTGCTAGCCATAACCTCGAAGCGTACCCTTCTTTTCCTGTTGCAACAACGCTCTTTCAACCTGGAATATTCAAACTCATTATTAGTGTTTGGAAAATTATAACATATTTGTAACAACAATCTGGTCATTTTTGTTTAATTTATTGTTGACTGAAAATTGACTTTTGTATGTTTTGTATGAGCCATTTTCAACACACGCTTTTTTTGGGACTTATTTTTACTCATGCAGCTGAAGATACTGAAGATGTTGTGTTAGGATTTTGTTTCACGAAATCCTAACAAGTGGAAATCCTAACAAGTGGAAAAATCATGATCCACTGCCAGATAAATTAGCTTGAAACCAGTGTGGGCAGGTCCCAGCTCCTAAAGATCCATGAGCACGTGCGCTAATATGCTGTCTCACTCTGGGCTGGTGGGGGTGTACCCAGAAAGAGAATTACCCAGTGCTTTTGTATGGCGTCTTCTTTCCTCTTGAAAACGTCTTTACAGGATGGTCCAAAAGTGGGTCTTGGTCCAACGCTATGTGTGTCGATGCTGAAGGGGGTTGTATATTTAAATGGACCAGTCTAGTTTGGCCGCTGTGTACTTCAGCGGGCCATTTTCTAAAAGCCCATAGAAGCATAAAGTTTGAACAGCAGAGATAGGAGTGACTACCTCCAATGATATTTACATATGCTTGAAAAAAGTACATTTCCTCTAATAATAGCTATTTTTTTCTCTGTTTTTAGCCACTTTTTGCAGTGTAAATGGACTGTAATATGGTTGAGTCTCACCTTAACAACCTAGTCATTTTTTTTTACATTCAAAGTAGGTTAATGGGGCCCCTGCAGGAGCTGTTTGTCATGATTACTACATTTCTCCACAGTAGTACAGTGCAAATGGGGCTTTCTCTTGCACATGATTAAGCGTGATGTGATAAAAAGCTCCAGCAAACACATAGCGGCACTGGGCCTTGGAATGACTCCTAACAACTGCACTGCACTGAGCACAAACAGCACAGTGCGGAGTCCTAAAGCCGTACCCTTCAAAGGCCGTGATGTGCAGAGTGGCATTATTCACGAGATGCTTTAATCCAAGGTGACAGTGCCCTCCCCTGCCTGTGCCATGTGGTGACGAGGCCAGACTGGGGCAAAAAGAAACAGTTTGTCTTGCAATTTCAGCCATTACTCATACAGGTGACCACCTCTGTCTGGCTATACATCCTGGTAAATAATGAAACAGGATCCCCCCACACACCTGCCTACGTGAGACTGCCGATTAGCTGTTGACGAAGCAACTTAATCGGGCCTGACATGTGGCAAAAGGTTGTTGTTTCAGAGAGCATTCGTCTTGCTGTGCCGCGGCTTTTGTGGCGGACACCGGATACTCTCGATTGTAGCCCAAAGCGTTATGTAACAGCAATGCCCTTATAATCTTTTTTCCTGGAGGTTGCATCTGTTAGAGGTCGAGGTTTTTTGTTGCTTCAATCTGGCCATGACAAATGAGATGCATCCCCACAGCTATGAACTGGATACATACATGCATACTCAGGCATCATCTCCATGGAGTTGCACCCACAGTGAGTAAAACGCTTGTGCGAGAGGCGCAGCTGAGGAAGAGAAAGCAGGCGTTAGTTCATTGCACGTCTCAAGCTCAGGATATTTCTATAATGAACGTGAACTTTGCACTCGGAGGGGAGAGGAAATGCAATGCTTTTCTCTCACTTGAGCGCACCAGGAGATGGGAAAGTTCGAGCTGAAGGATTGCCCAGTGATGAGATTTCGCGCTGGGGAAGGAGATTGAAGTTAACTTTTGAAATGTGTTTTAATAATACCACATCATTTGACTTGGAGAAATGGTGGAAATGAATTTGAAAGTTGTCATTTGTCGGCAGGGAAAGCATATCCCACTTTCAATCATCCCGCCATAAACTTCCAAAGCTTACGAAAACTTGTCAAGTCACTCACACTCTGATGGTGACCTAGAAAAAAAGCCTCCATATTGAAACAGAGTGTGTGCGTGTGTGTGTGTGTGTGTCTTTTGTGTGCGTGTCTATTCACTTGTTGCCACATCTGTGCCTAGCTTTGCCTGCACACACTTCAAGAGACCCCCAGTATCATAACAAACACACTATAAAGAACTATGAACAATTCACAGCCACAGCCAGGAATGGGGCGTGTAAGGAAGGAGAAATGCAGCAACAAGGAACACCGGTTTTAGTGGCCATCTGACTGCATAATTAGGCAGCAGCAACAGAGAGAGATACTTTATGTTGTAAACAATTTGAGGAGTCAAACCTTGGACCGAGTGGTGACGAAGCCTGATATAAATGATTGGTAAAACCTTCAGTGGATGGCTTATTGATTTAATGACAGGCGTGGATGTAGTAGCAGCCTCACAACATGACACAGCCGCATGCATGCTAATAAGGTCGCCTCACAAAGACGGCCCTTGTGCCTACGTATACGCCACTAACCTTTGGAAAGGATACCAGTGGGTTCCATCGCATTGAAAAAAAAAAAAATATAGCATTTGTAGTTTGTGTGTTTTGTGTGTGTTTTTGTTTCAAGTAGCACTCTGTTGCGTGTCTCATCCCGTGGCCAAATCCGTGTGACATTTACTCTGTACAATAAAGCCCTCAGTGGAGATACAGATTATTGTTATCTGATTGCAGCTCTGCACATATCCAGCATTTCATTTGGCACTCTAACACACAATAGCTTCCGGTTTTTTCTCAATCGTACTCAGGATATTTGGGACAAAACAAAACAACACCACTTTGGATTTGATGAGGGCTGAGGCGGAGGAGGAGGAGGAGGATGAGGAGGTTGTGTAAGATAAAACAGGGATGGGATTGCTATTTCCCCCGTTAAATAACCATCGGTCTGTGTTGTGTTGCCAACGATGAGGCAAAGCTGTGGGGGAAAACACAACAATAGTCAAGTAAATGTTGAGTCCAGGATTTAATATAATGCAGATTAGAGTCTGCAGGAGAAGCCGCTGTACATTATGTTTTGTGCCCATCAAAGATTATGTGTTTTCTTCTAAGGCTCTCATTTGCCTTAAATCCACCTCTTTTCCATTAGTATTTATGTTATTTCAAACGTGTGTAACGGTTTATTTTGTATCCTGTTTATGCAGTTAGTTTTTATCATTATTGTGGTTTTATTTTTTTTATTTTTTTAACGAAATATGCACACAGTTTGAAATAAATGCGCTTTTCTAGACACTCAAAAGATGCATCACGTGTCATTATCAATTCACTCCAAACACGGTGGTGATAAACCTCGATTGTAGCCACAGCTGCCCTGGGGCACACTGACAGAAGCGAGGCGACCAGTATGTGTCAACAGCCCCTCCCACCACCACCAA